CTAAATATGAGGAGGTTAGCATAACAGATCTGCAAATATCTCAGGAGCAGATACCCTAAAAATAAAAACGCTTGCACAAATGTTGAAAGTTTCTACATTTATGAACAGCTGTATATTTTTAAAAAATAAAACAATAAAATTAAATATTGCTCCCAGTTAAAAGCATATTGCAATGCCAAATAAAAGACCTTTGGGCCAAAGAAGAGTGTCTAGATTTTTGCTCTCTATAAAAAGTATGTTATAAAATGAAAATTCGTAGTGAAATATTTCTATTTTAATTTGTATTTTTCAATTTTAATTTAATATGTAATTCCCAGATATAGTAGTGAGTAGGAAAACACACACAGAAGTATGTTTCTTCTATGCTCTTACTTAACAACAATCAACAATACACAGAGGACACACACACAGACTTCTGTGACCAGATATGTAAGGATTTCTCCCCACAGGCAAGCAAGCAGCCAGTTCTTCAGTGGACACCAGGTGGGTGTCCTCCAATTTAACTATGACACTCTCTACGGGGGGATAGCGTCAGATCCCACTGGTGAGGGCTCAGTCCCCAAACTGACCCCACTTCAGATGCCGATAGCAAGTCATGGCCTCTGGAACTTCTGACCAACCAGCTATAAATTAGGGTTCCCACAACCCCTTCCTTGGGTTTGATTAGTTTGCTTGAGCAGCTCATGGAACTCAGGGAAACATGTACTTTTTTTTTTTTTTTTTTAAGATGACTGGTAAGGGGATCTTAACCCTTGACTTGGTGTTGTCAGCACCACACTCACCCAGTGAGCTAACCGACCATCCTATATAGGGATCCGAACCCAGGGCCTTGGTGTTGTCAGCACCACACTCACCCAGTGAGCTAACCGACCATCCTATATAGGGATCCGAACCCAGGGCCTTGGTGTTGTCAGCACCACACTCACCCAGTGAGCTAACCGACCATCCTATATAGGGATCCGAACCCAGGGCCTTGGTGTTATCAGCACCACACTCTCGCGAGTGAGCCACGGGCCGGCCCTGAAATATGTACTTATATTTGCTGGTTTATTGTTATCAAGGATACAGATGAAGAGATGCATAGGGCAAGATATAGGAGAAGAGGCATGGAGCTTCCATTCCCTCTGTGGATGTGCCACCCTTCAGCAACCTCCATGTGTTCAGCTGTCTGGAAGCTCCCCAAACCCTGTGCTCTTGGGATTTTATGGAAGCTTCATTACGGAGGCATGAGTAAAGCAAGCACAACCATGTAGAGATGTGATTGGACGAAAAGGGTGTGATCTAACAGTGAGAGACTGGGTGGAGAAACTCAGCAAGGCCTATTTGTTCAGGTTCTTCTTGACTTCTCTGTGTAGCCTTCCTTCCTTCCAGACATGGGGCAGAACCCCTCCTGAAATGGGGGTTTTATGACCTACAATCAGCTAAGATAGGTCAGAGAATTTCCTGCTTTAGGGAGAAAAAGGAGCAGGTAGAAAGAGAGCAAGAGAAGGTCAGAGAGTATCATGAGCCAGGAAACATGGATGAAAACCAATATATAAATATCATAATGTCACACCAGTGCATGTGTTTGTATCATGTTAAGTGTTTATGGAAGTTTAGTGATAAAGTTCAATTGTATTTCTGAATGGTTGATTTTTCTCATTTCCAGCTTACTTTATTTGTTTACTCAAATGCCTCTATAGGCCTTTGAGTTTGCAACCCTTATTAAGTAAAGTAATTCATGAAAAGTAATAAATGCAGTGCCTGGCACACAATAAGTTTTCAGTGAACTTAACTATTTTATTAAGCTGAAGGTGTTAGTATCTGAATGTGGCGCTGTTTTCAATATAGTATATAAGATAGGGTGTGTTACTGTGACAAATGCACCTGATGTAGGATTAGTAGTGTTGAGGGCCAGGCTGGCAAAGTGCAGATGGAAAGGTTTTGTCTAAAAGATCAAAGGAAGGCTCATGTTTATAGTTAAATGAAATGAGCTCTTTCCTTTCAGTGTAAAATATGGCCTTAATGTCTGGAATAGATTTAGTTTGTTTCATATTGGTGCTTTGAGGTTCAGTTTCACTGTTTTAATGGAAATCAGCCATAATATTGCTTACCCCTTCATACCTCACCCCCACAAAAGTGAAGCATCTTTGAAAATGAAAAACAATATGTACAAAAAACCCTTTAGTAGTATTGATTGTATTTGGCTTGTGAGCTTGAAAAGACGTTGCGGTTGTTAAGAAGAGTGTTACCAACATTTGGTAATAAAAAACTGACTTGAAAGAAGAATGGACTAATTCTGAGTCCTAGAAGTTATTGAATGTGAAATAAAACTATAAAATAGTTAAGCTATAATATTTAGCTATAAAATGTTATAACTTAACAATTAAAAATTTTAAAATATTGGACCTGAATCTTTTATAAAATAAGTTGTCTACCTTTATGAGCAGCTTTTTTTTTTTTTTTCCCTTTTTTTGTCTTTTTTCGTGACCGGCAACGGATCGCAACCCTCAGTGTCGCGCCCATACCGGACCGGGACCGGCCACGGGATCGCAACCCTCGGTGTTGCTCCCGCCCCTCGCTCAGCCAGTGA